AAGGTAACGATATCGAAATACCGCCATTGCCAGGTATGACCGGTGAAGGACACACCATGGGTTTTCACCCTGAAACTCCAGTCCCGGTACTGAAGTAGCACCATCAAACACAACCACGAAGTGTTGTTGCAACCGCTGGACGACCCCCTTCACTCCTTCAATCCTTGACAATGCCGAACATAGACAAACACCCACATGCGTCGTGTTCTAGACCACTCGGCAACGAATATGAATCCTCGTGCACAAGGACCATGGAACATCACATCTCAGAACCTCTTCAGCCTGAATGTTTGGCATTCCATCCATTGTCCATTGCCCACACACAGTTCTAATGGGAAAAGATGTGTTCCTATGAGCTAGTTGACTGGCGACGATGCGACTGTCAGGAGCCACCGGAACCCACCATAAGGGCACATGAGTGGAGGAGGAGCTTCATGCGTGCAATCCGAGGATTTTGTATCGACCCGAGTTTCAGCTGCCTATTATTTTGGAAACGTCGTACTGCCTTTACATAAGAAACATGGGCTTCAAGATGGTGGCTATGGATCTCTGCCGATTTTAGGATTTTTAATATTAGCATAAATGCTAATGAAGTGGCTCATAGTTTAACAAAGATTAGTAAGAATGGGTCTTGTTCAGGTGTGTGTCGGTGCAGTCCCATCCTGCGTGTTGAAACTGGCAGAATACGAATATACGATTGCACAAACTTAGTTTAGTTAAAGTTATCAGTTAGAAAAACTGTATGGAGTTTGTGTAACAAGGTGTTAAGAAATGACGACCACTTTCCTTAAGAAATACTCCCTTTGTTCCTAAATATTTGTTTTTTAGAGATTTTAAATGGACTACCACATATAGATGTATATAGACATATTTTAAAGTGTAGATTCACTCATTTTGTTTCATATGTAGTCATTTGTTGAAATCTCTAGAAACGCAAATAGTTAAAAACGGAGGGAGTACGTAAGTAAACTACCGCTATGCCAAATGTAGTTTCTTCCCCTCCCCTCACCACTGTACTACCGGCAATGTCGCCCAAAGTGGAGTAAATTGCTCAAAACCATCCTATTTATGGCTAGGATACTTCTTTACCACGCTGACATGTTTCCTAAAACTGGCATTGGCTAGCCCTCTGGGTTTCATGTAATTTGTACTTTTTTTTACTTTTAATATATATATACCGTAGTACGATTGTTCTACGGTTTTCGGGTAAAAAGAACCACGCTTTTGTCAAAAACCACTTCTACCGTTTTCATGTACAAAAAACCACGCTTTTGTCAAAAACAACACAAGACCACCGTTTATGCGCCAAGCGGATAACAAATCGCACTGGTCCAGACTTGAGCCATGACTAACCAAAAAACTGACATGGCTGGCTCACCTGTCGGGTCCACGTGGCATATCTATGTGGACAATACGCTGAGGTGGCCAAGGGTCCCACATGTCAGCTCCATACCTCCTTCTTCCTCCTGACATCTCTATTCCCCCTCCCCCCTCTCTCTCCTCCCCTCCGTGGTGACCCCGACAAGCCTTCCAGGCGCCACCGTTACCATGCCCTCGCCTGGATCCTGCAAGAATTGAGCCGCCTCTGCCTTCCGCACCTCAGATCCGTGCTCGCTGCTCCAATCCGAGCCCTCTACCTCGCTGGTGACTCTGCCTCCGCGCCGGTATGCCGGGCGCCTGCGCCACAAACCCACGCAGCCCCTGCAGCTACCTTCCACGCTGCCTCCTCTCCACGCCCCAGCCCTGACCCAGCTCCCTCAGCCGCCTTCCCTCCCGATGTCGGCCTCCCCTAGTGCAGCCGCCTTCCCTCCTGACGTCGGCCTCCCCTAGCCGTCTTCCCTCTCGACGCCGGCCTCCCCCAGCTGCCTTCGCCGTCAACAGACACGACGGGAGGGACGCCCCACTGCCACCCTTCCCGGCCTCATCAAGCTGGCTTGCTCCCCCTCTATTCCCTTGACTCTCTCTTGTTCTGGGCAATCCGCATTTTCGACCTCGCTCCTTGCCGGCCAAGGTCATGGCCGCCAGCACGGGCGCAGCTAGGGCCTCCCGACGGGCGCCGCAAGCACGGGCACGGTTAGGGCTCGGCCGACCGTCGACCAGGAAGGGCGGTGAGCGAAAGAAAAGGAAGAGGGGGAAATAAAATGTGTGGCTGACATGTGGGACCCCATCCACCTCAGCGGGTCAATACATTGACTAGGATTAGTCTTCACCAGATCAACCCGACGGACAGGTCCCACCCGTCAATTCCGCTGTTAGACGTGGCTCGGTTTTCAACTAGTGCGATTTGTTACTCATTTGTTGTGGAGGTGGTAGTCTTCTGTTATTTTTGGCAAAAAAAGTAGTTTTGAAGTATGATGGTTTTGAGCAATTTACTTCTCAAAGAGGTACCACCCATGCCATATCCGCGAAAAAAGGGGTTTTCAATGGGAAATAAAAGCTTTACTAATTTCAGCAGGGTGAAAGCTTCTAGTGACACTTTCATCGGGTGTCTTGACAAAAGCTTTCAAACAGGAAATCACGAGTTTGTAGTCAGGAATCTAAAACTTTCAACTTTGAGAAGCGAAGAAGGCTTTCAAGTACAAAGCCTAGAACCTTAAGCTCAAGCATCGCGGTTTTCAACTTTGAAATTATGACTTCCAAACTGAGAAATCGTTTTCAAATTATATAATACCAACACTTAACTTGTACGATGATATCAACTTTCAGCACAAAACTATGAAGTCATGAATACAGAAATAGAACAATTCCTACAGAGGTTGTTTGGAGAATAACTTGAAACTTGGGGAGTCTTAGCTTAAAAATTTAACAAAGTCTTGCTGAAATTTTCGCTGCTATGAAATATTTTTATATCAAAATTTTAGCTTAAATTCAATCAAAATTCAATTTTGGTCAAAATTATTTGAAATATTAGTAATTTCACGTAAAATAACTTTCAAAATCTGTCGAGGCCTGAGCCAAAATATTCATGTTCATAAAATGCTAAACCTCAATATTGCACTACAATACTTCACCCACATCATACACCTTTCTGGTAGTCACTATACTTTTTTATGTTATTGCACTACACTATTTGTTTCATCTAAGGGAATACACCTACAATAAACTTATAAACTCAACCAACTAGCTAGTTGTGCTGTAAAAATGTGTGCATGTCTATTTATCATATTCAAATAGTGAATGTGTTTTGGACGTGGAGTTTCTGCTCCCGTCTCAAATGCACCCTCGTGAACACTAAAATTGAAAAAGAAAAAACATTTTGCAAAAAAAATTCCGGTAACAACCACTGTTGAATATTCTGCTTATGTGGAAAAATACGCAATGAAAAAACATATTTAATGCTCTGGGCAAGAGAAAACAAAGTCATTACTCCAAAAAGACTAATTTTTAAAGCGTGTTGGAGTGCTGATTTTGTTATTTTTGACAAGACCTCCATGAACATGGTTTCACGACTAAAATATGCACGAAGGAAACTAAGCAATGTTTGTAGCCAAAAAAAGTCAGATTTTTTAATTTGTTTAATGGTACTGTTCCTGAAGGAGCATTTGAGCTCGGGATTAGAAGTGCACTTTCGATGTGTTTCTTTGTTTGCCACACTCCCGACTGAAATAGTACTAGTCCCTCCGTTCAAAAAAGCTTGTCTCTCAAATGAATGTATCTAACATTGTTAGTGCTAAATACATTCATTTGAGGGACAAGCTTGGGACAAGTTTTTTCGGATGGAGGGAGTAGATTACAGTTACCAGACAGGCCCCGCACCTTTCTCCCCAATCTCGTGTAATCCTTGCCATTCATGCCTAAATATGTTTATGAAATAATGTTAAATCTCAGATTGTGCACAATACTCTCATATATACACCCTCCTGAAGATCTACAGATTTTTTGCATTCCTTCATACTATACTATTTATTTCAGCTAAGAATCTAAATACTTATGAGTGAAGACTAAACTTTTAATAGCTTGACCAACTACGAAGGTTAGCCATTGTCGGCCTGTTGCGGAGCGTGTGATATTTGTGTTCCCCGACTCCATTCGGTCGGAATTGAGCCGTTCTATAGGACTTGTCCGGCGTCTGCTTCTTCAGGGCGTCGATTTGCTACACATAACGCGGTCGTCGGCGTCTTCTGCTTTACATCAACAACTTCTCGGACGCTGCTTCCACAAACTCTTGGGTTTTAAAAAGTTTGTTCCGTTGAGACGGAGATTTAGAGGTTGCCACGAGTTTTGCTCAAGGTGCACTGTGGGTGGATGCAGATGGAAGAAGACTTCGGCACCCCAAAATTTGGATGTTTGTTTCAATTTTTGTAAGTGTTTTTGAAAGTGCTTGTACTATTTAATATAAGTCCTTTGTCCTTTTCGCAAATGAAGGAAAACTGAGTAGCACAAAAGAAAAAAAAACTAAGGAAAGAGAAGACGAGAGATTGCGTGATGAAGCTGGAGACCGGAGGAGGCGGGAACTTCCCGCTCACACAGCACAGTGATCTCTAGCTTGCATAGCATGGAGAGGCCCATCAATCGTGGGGATTCCCCAGTTGCTGCAAGAAATAGAAAAAGGGGGGATGCATGATGCATGAGCCAGACAGACGGCTACTGAGCTACACACACACTCACTCACTCACTCAGCCTGCCCTGCATCTGCATGGAGGTGGAGGTGGAGGTGGAGCAAGAAGAAACAATAATGCATCCACCTTTACGTCCGGCTTTACTTGGGCCCCAACTAACTGGCCTAAGCTAGCCAGCTCTACTCCACTCCTCCCCGGCCTCTCCGGCCTCTCCTCCTGGTGCAGCACCAAACCGTATATAAAAGACCACTCCACCTCCCATCTCCAAACCAACCTAGCCATCCAACACAACACAAGCTAAGTTGCCTCTCATCACCTTCTCCTTGGGTTAGATTGATAGCTAGACCAGACACACGTACGCTAGATTGACCGGTCTGATAGATAGATAGATAGATAGATAGAAAGATACAAGGATCCATTAGTTTCTGATTATTAACAGCGATGGAGAAGGTGATGATGAGCAGGAAGCCGGGCGACTGGAGTTGCAGGTCGTGCCAGTACCTCAACTTCTGCAAACGGGACGCTTGCCAGCGGTGCGGCGAGGCTAAGCTGGGCGCCGAGCGGCCGGACTACGCGGCCATGGGCGGCAGCTGGGAAGTCAAGCCCGGCGATTGGTACTGCGGCTGCTGCGGCGTCAACAACTACGCCAATCGCGCCAGCTGCTTCAAGTGCAGCGCCGCAAAGACAGACTCCGCTGCCGTGGCGCACAACTGGGGGTTCAACGCCGCCGGCCAGGCCGGCTGGAAGGCCGGCGACTGGATCTGCCCCAGGTTCGTCTGCCTCCGGCCCCCTATCTACGTAGCTAATCGGTTAGATTAAAGCTAGCTTTCCAAGGAATGTGCATGCATGCATGCATGCATGCAAACAGGCCTGAAAAGAAAGAAAATTAACCACGGGTTTTGGCGATGCAGACTGGATTGTAACGTGCAAAACTACGCCAACAGAACCGAGTGCTTCCGCTGCAATGCGCCCAAATCATACTATGGTAAGCTCATCTCCTGTGAATTCAACCCATCCCACGGCACATTTACACTTCTTGTTTGCGACGAGTGCACACATTGACAACTTTTCTTTTTGCGATGATGGCACATATTTACACCTGACAGTGACAAACTGGTCTGGTGCTGTATGTCATCTCATCTAATCAAATTCTTTTATTTGATGTTTACTTCCTTTGCAGGTTAAAAAGACAGGCCTGAAAAAAAATTAAAAAAATGGAAGTATTATTGGAGCAAAGAACAATCACGAGTCCTCAAGGATTTTTCTTTTTTTTTCTCCTTAAGAAAAACCTTCGCCAACCCGAGGGTTTAGTCATGTGGAAGAGGAGCGGTAAGCCGCCGCTCAGACTCAGAAAAGGGAGATAAGTGGGCACAAACGTGTACATGTGCGCGTGTGTTTGGGCTGAGGACCAATATCCGATTTTCCTTTTTCAGTAAAAGAAAGAGAAAATTCCAGTTTGGCTTCATTTGTACGTTCACAACTTTTGAGTGAACTCCTGTGTGTGTGTGTGAGATTAATTGTTCCTAATCATTAGACTGTTGCTGCGCATGCAGTTCCATTCGCCGATATCTATCCATATATAGATGCCTTGCTTGTGCCTGCTCGTTGCTTACGGCATATGCAAAGCGGCCCGGGAATGCAGCCAGGGAGCACAGAGGCGACAGCGAATTCACCCAGCCACAAGCGAATGTTTCTTGGAAAACCTTTAGTCGCCGCGCGCGCGGGATAGAGAGATTCCGGGAGCAATCATGGCCCTGCTTTACTCGAAAAAGCGAGACGATCGAGATGCACAGGATTATTACCACTTCAGTCTCAAATGCCACGCCAGCACCACATACATACTCACAGACTACATATATACATGTGTAGTAGAATAGAAGAGAAAGAAAATCAAATATATATTCCCTTGAATCAAAATAAAAGACGTTTTGTGACACTGCAGTGTCAAAAGAAAGTCTTATATTTTGATATGGAGGGAGTAGCTTGGTATGTAAGTTTACAAATGGAAAACTATTAGTCACAATCTTTCCTCCATGAATTAACATACTATCAATAGTTAATTAGTTTTTCGCTAACATGTTTATATATGTAACTTAATGATCAAAGCTGCACGGTGTAAAACATGTCTATATCTAAAACATCATGGACGGTGTGCGTGTATGTGAGCACATCTTCTCAAGTGTGTGGGGGCGAGAGAGCGAGAGGAAGGGGGGTCACCAAGCATCAGAATATATATCATGGTATTCTCTTCTGCTTGGTGCTTGCCTGCACAGGTTTTGGTTAGCTGGTCTTTGGCCTCTTGGCCTTACTAGCGGTGACTTGCTTACCCTGAGCAAAGCCGACCTGTGTACAGCAAACAGCCTGAACCATTTGCTCACTCATCATGCACACCTTTTTACAATCCGACATGTGTACAGAACATATATTCATTACCTCCAAGCACCTCCACAACAATAATCAGATTCTACGGAATACCAGTAGCTGGCCCACAGAGCTATACCAGGTCAAATGGTAGCATCATCACTGACGATACCGGTGTTACATGCTCTGGGATCCAAATAGCAATGAAATATGAATTGAAGCTTCTCTGGAATGGATGAATACTTCGCAGAGTTTGAATTGAAATGGTGCAGCGGTAGGATGGTGTTTCACCAGATTATGGAGGAACTGCACCATTTCTAACGAGGGTGCAAAACCTGCCCAAGATGTGGCTCAGATGGTGAAACTACCACGCACATCTTTCTAGCCTGTCCGCTCGCGCAGCGAATCTGGCAAAGGATTGGGCTCCGCCCACCACAGTGCATAGATGAACTATGGGACTGCAGTCTGCCTCCCCAAGTTCATGCTGTGATCTGGCACTCCATACTACTGATCATACTGTGGAAAATCTGGTGCTCCAGAAACGCAATGACTTTCCGGCAGGAAAACCACCAGAGTGTCTTCACTCTCAAGCAAATCCTCGAAGACCTCATGCTCTGGACTCACAGGATGAAGAAACCAGAGCAGAAACAGGCCGCTTCTTCTTGGCGTTCCTATCTCTCATCACGTTTACACGTGCTTATGTAATTCACCTTTGTAATCAGTGGAACGATGGATTGCAAAATTGGGAA